AACCAATACAGCAGCAGCACTGAAGGCCAGGCTCTGTTCCCACTTAGTACCATCTGTATCAAAGCAATGGTACTGTATTCACTTGAAATATGCTCAGTTCACACCAGCAAAACTGGGAGTGCAATCTGGCATTTCTTGGTATAATAACAATTTTGGAATCTTGCCCTGCTACTCAGTTGCATGCTTTATCAGTATTAACACAGAAGGTATGAAGGTGGGATGTTAGTTATTTTCAAAGCTTTGCTCACATCTTGCCAATTCTGTGTTTACTGTCATATTCTAAAGCTGGGGAAGGGAGGAGGACTTTTTATATTCCTCCTCCTTCCATGTGTTACTCTATGAAAAAATCTCCTGCCTGCCTATCATCACTTCATTTTTCAATGTCTCTCACACTAGCTTTGTTACTTTGCATACAAATTTGAATTGGTCATCAGCTGAAAATGTGAAGGCAGCATAAGGCAAGAGTTTCCACACACTTGGGTCCTTTCACGTCTTCCTTCTGTGTTGAATTCTGTATCTGATAACATGGAATAATTCTTCCTTATTCTGACAAGGTGGCTATTTGAGAGGTTGGTGAACACCGTATTCCAGCTACATTAAAAATGCAGGCTACTACAATTTGATCACTTTTACATTTCTCAAATAAAACCCCATTAGAGAGACAAATCATCAAGGTAGAGTTTGAGCAGTCAATGGAGAGTGTGACATGAAGCGGGTAAAGACAGCCGAGTGTTCCATGACCACCTTTTTATACTTTTGTGGGTCTCCAAGCACTTCACTGTTTTAAATCACATGATCACCCATCCTGCAAACGTAATATTCTGTATTTTATTAACTATAGTTTTATATCTCTACTATGTTTGCCTATGGGAAATCAGTAAATCAGAGCAAAGACTTCTGCAATTGATTACTGGGCAATAAACTGGCAGAGCAGTACAGCATAAATCAAGCTGATAGTTTAGGGGCTGGACATGAACCCGATTTTTTTGTTTGAGTCCCCCCTCCCAGTATTTCATTTCTCAGATCAAATTTAATCTCTCACTTAAATGAACTGGAAAGAATTTCTGGTATGCAATACTCACTGGGGCATTAGAAAGTACTGACATTTACATGAGATTCCTAATACTCCTCAAACATGTTGAAGTATTCAGGAGTCTACCAGTGAAAGAAGCAAGAACATTCTCAATGTAACATCTATTTTCCAGCAGCCCAAGACAAGGAAAAGGCTGCCTCTCTGAAATGCTGCCTACTGCTTCACACAGCAAAACACCTACGTGAGATTCAGCAACATACTTTGATAAATAATGTACTTACAGCATGGCCAAATGGATAAAAAAAATATTAAAAGCCTTACAAGTTCATTTTTATTAATGTATTTTTATAGTGCCTTCGTAATTCCTACTGCCATAATCCTGACACATAAAAGGAGGCGTAAGATTATATTATATGTTGATATAAGGGATATTACTAGATATACCTTAAAACGACAAATCAGCATTACATGGAAGTGCACCAAGAGCTGTTGTCTCAATTCTGATGAACTTAAGCCTTATTCAGGAATCTCACTGAACAGTGCTACAACATTTAAGCCAGTTCATACATGTATTTCTTATGCAGCATCCCACTGAAACAGTATGTAAAATTTCTTCTGTTCTGACAGAGGATCTGTTTTTAAATCAGCTCATTAAAAACCAACATCCCCAACATTCAGGAAACAAAGACAGTAAGAAAGCTGCTTCTCCCAAAGTTATCATTTCAGAGCAATAAAGTCTGCTGAGGGCTACTGAATTATCATCTGATCAGCAAAAGCAGGAAGCCAGTTACGCTACAGTTTACCAGACTACAAGATGTAAAAGTGCTGCTGAATATGAATAAAAAAAGAATTAAAATATTCACTCTGACCTTACAGGGACCAAGACTCCCTTTCTCCAAAGTTACTGCATGCCGAATAGCTGTTCTTCAATATCGAACGTTTCTCGAGGCATATTCAGTAACTTCTAACATAATCTTATTCCACACAAAAGGAAATTGGTTATTTGTATGTTATCCAAGGAAGGCTGAGTAATTCACTGTGGTAGGAAAGACCTCTAAAAATAAGTCACCTCTCAGCAGATTCACTCCCTTCCTGTCTGGGTTTGATTGCCACTGCATGAAAGGACAAAGCTTTAGGATGAACTACAGAGAACTTCTGTAATGATAACACTGCTCAAATACATTCATTTCATCCCTGCTCTGTTTCAAAGAATACAACTTCTAGGGGTGGAGCAAGCCAGTGACCCAACAGGATGTGCATGACTAGAGTACCTCGTGTGTAGCCTTCTGCTTTCATGTTTATTTTTGGATGTATTTTCCTTTGTGCTTTGAAACAGATTTTGGGGCGAGGTAGCTAGAACCACACTCGCTGATGCTGAAGAGGAAAAAACAAGTTCTTAACACGAAGAGTACTTCTTCCTACAGATATGTAGCATACCTTGGAAGTCTACAGTGTTATATCAATGATGAATAACTTTTTTCGCATTTGTTAGTGCTCCTCAGAGATGAAGGACAGGGACAACTGGTGCACAAAGGCATGTCACCAGTGATTCTCATAACCTCCTAGAGCTTCCTCATCAGGAAACTGTTCAGCTGTGTGAGAACCTAACCAGAGATACTATCATCTCCAAGCTGCTATAGCAGCTGTTGATAGAAAACAACTCTCCAAGGATGAGTAAGCTTAGAAGTTCAACAGATGTTCCCAAACAGGATGCTACTTCAACAGACAAAATACTAGGCCATTTTAACTGGTAATTGTACTTATCAGGACAATATAACTTGGTTTGACCAGCATTCCCTGACTGTTAAAATTTCAGATCACAGAAAATCTTTCTGTATTGAAAGGGTTGATTATGTTGTTCTGTATATTACAGGAGGCATCTTATTCTACTTTTGATAAAGAATATCCTTACTTTATTAACAGTAATTAATACACTTTGCTGCATATTATACTTTATGTTAACAAGCCATGTCTGTGAAACATTCCATCAACACAATTGTTTCATAGAGTAACACAGCTAATATAGGAAAAGCTACTTTTCAGTTTAAACAAAACTCAGAAAAGTCTGTAAATTCATAATATGAAGTTACATAGATTCTGAAAAGTCTATCCAAACTTAGAAATAGCTATGTATTGTATTTTGCTCTCTTCAAAGTAAATGTCACAGGGGGAAAAAAAAAAAAACAAACAAAAAAACCCAAACAAACCAAAAAGCACACCCCAGAACAAACCCAAAACTAACCTTACTCCAGTAGAAAATGTATTTTTTGCACTCCTATTTTTAATCATAAAAATACTACAGTCATAAAAGCAGAAACCATTTCAAGGATTCCAACCCTACAGTTTATCTAGATTGTTCTTAAACTACAGTATTACCTATTTTGGAATTACTCAACTACTTTTTATGAAGAAACTACTTCTTTATGAAACTAAATTCTCATTGTCTGAGAGTTGAAATTTGTATGCACTAGATTTTAGTTTTTACGATATCTGGATTGTGATGACACTGACATGGGTGCCTTTTCCCATTTTTCCCATGGCACTGCTGATATTAAGTATCTGTGGTCCATTCTTGACTTGGTGTGGGTTTTCATTAAAACAAATTTAAAAAGCCATCTGAATGGCATGTCATTGTATCAACAACTCTTTCCCCATATGGGCTTTGTCACAGCAAAGATATATGAATCTCAGGATAATGCAGATAGAACAATACAGCATCCACAACTTAACAAAAAGTTTCCCCTGAGGAAAAGTATTCCCTTTACTTCAGATAATACTAAAAAATGATTGCTGCTAATTTTGGGGGAATCTTCTTAAATAATTTTCTGTTTGTTTTGAATATTCTGTGTTTATCATACCTTAGCTGCAGTTTATGTAGGCTTTGGGATTTGAAGATTGCAAAGAAACAAATACTGCCTTGAAAAAAATAAATAACTAAATTCTACCTCAGACTAACCAGCAAAGCTGTATTTCATGGCATAATTTTCCACTCACTAAGAGTACAGGCATAGCTTCCTTGAAAGCAAGCACACCAGAATACATTAAAAGTTCACTGAAAAACTGCACATAAAAGGCAAAGAAGTACCACAAAACTGAACTGTGGTCTCTGACATGTGCAGCATCTAGGACATACTCTACCGCACAACTTCCTAAAACCTGCGATATACAAGATGTGTGCTAAGGTTCTCTATGATAGCTCCCAATACTTGCAACACACATGACCTTTTCCAAAAGCATCTATCATCAAAGAACTCATCAAAATCAGCAAAATTGTTAAACAACACTGTAGTAGTGATAGAAAACTACATTGGCATTTTTGTTTTAGAACAACTTTAAATGTTTGAAGGTTCAAAGTTTTTAAGAAAGGATCTTAACCTCCACTCCCCCAGTAGTTCTCATGGGAAACCAACAGATTGAATGCTTAGCAGGAAAGTCTCATACATGGGAGAAATGACTATCCTTATACCAGTTAAAAGTGAATTATAAACATGTTAATGAGAAACCTACAATTGGGTTTATTCTCCTCCATCATGAACTTATAAAGCACTATCTACATTAAAAATTTCTGACCACTGGCAAATGTAGCATATATTAAAACAGATGAGACCACTGGCATATTTAATTTCTCAATATCAGAGTATATTAAGGATAGACTCTCCCCATAAATGCTGGCAATAAAAGCATGTTTAAGGCTAAAAAAGCAACACCTGCTGTATGCAAATAAATTCCACCAGAAATTTCACCAAGTTATTTCATTAGAAGAGGCCCACAAGAAAGAAATACAGGAATATGTAATCATGCAGAATATGAAGCACTAAAAAGAAGAAAAATACATTCCTTTTTGTCCAAACTAATTTAAAAGGGTTATTACTTTGCTTAAAGTATAAATGTGCTTATATTTCATTACAAACACTTAGAAACTTAAATCACTTTTTCTGCATAAACTGCACATAAACTTGAACTTACCTCCCAAAGGGCTTTAAAGTCCTTCTGCTCAATTCGAAGGAGCTCACTGTATTCTCTCGTAACAATGGTAGCATGGCGAGGAGTGTTATCCAGAATGGACTCTCCAAAAGCAGTTCCTATTCCCAGAGTGCATATTGTCACAGCATCCTTTGAATCAAAATAAAAGGACACATATTAAATATTCCAGGATGTTTTAAGAGTCTTTATGTCACATTCACCAATAGCATTGCCTTAAGATTTTTCAACAATTTGCTTTAAAATAAAAGTGCCAACAAAGAAAAAAAAAATCAATATGCCAATTAACAACACAGGAAGCTTCAATGTGGAAGCAAGTAGTTCTGTTTACTACGACCACCAGTTGAATTAGACATTTCTGTGTACAAAGCAGAGAACAAAAGAGTCACTTTCACCTTTGGAAGAAAGTTATGACCTCTGTCCATCTACCTCTAAAGACTGTTGTGATTATGAGATTCTTTAGAAATGTCAGAGGTGATGAGAAGATAACTAGAATCAGAAATGCAATCATGGAATATAAATTTCTGCCCTATGTAGACTACCCACATTACAAAGAAAATTTAACTGTTTTCTCTGCTAACATAACTTCCAATTATAATATCCTCTTGTATTCATAATGCATTTCTCTATTGTGTAAGGTCTGTGTCCCGTGCAATCATACAGCTTAACCAACTCTTGGCCCTTCTGTTGAATATGCCATTAAACCTCTCAATTGTTAATGCATGCCGATTAGCCACCAGACTAACAAAAAAAATAGTATTCTTTTCACATAAGTCAGGAATTTCAAAAAAACTACTCAAGTCCAAAACAACCTGGAATAGAATATTCAGGATGGTCCCAAACATGAAGAAATAAGCCTGCGTGAGCACATGCTATTCAAGTGACAGAAAGATGCCTAAATCAAACCACTTTGGCCAGGAACTCCTCTGTAATAGTTCTAGTATAAATTATGAGCTTCTGTAGAGGGGAAAAAAAAAATTAAAAAAAAAAAAAAAATCAAGATTACTAGCAATTAAGTAACTTGCTGAATCAAGATCTTTAGATATATGTTCTGCTTAGGCTTACAAATTGCTATGTTCCTGAGCACAGTCTTGAAGCTGAATGATTACGTATGTCTCTTTCCAAGCTGGGCTTTAACTGACTGTCTTCTAAGTAATTAAAAAAAGATAGCAACAGCATTAGAAATTTAAATGGATACAGACTGTACTTTACTAAGGAAATCATACATGCACACAGACAAATACACATAAACTTATAAAAACACATGCTCATTTTACTGGATACAACATTAGAAATATAGTTTAATTCTAAAAACATAGGATTCATGAAATGTCTACAAAAAAAAAAGCAGAAAAATTTGTCATCCCATCCACTACATCCTTGTGGCTGATAATCCAGGAGAGGTGCATGAGCACATTTCAGCATCATTTTCTGTGTTTAAAATTGCATTGTTTTCCTTTCATGCATCTAATAAGTGGTAATAGGCAAATGTTATTAAGATCAAGTTAGTAGCTTTACAATTGCATTACAAAGACAAATGCCCATAATAGTCCAGTTCCCTGAACCATAGCAAATTGCTTTTGCACAGATATTACCATATAAAATCATGTGTTCAGGAAAACAAAATCAATTATGTCTTAGAAAATATCAAGGAAGAATTTACCAACTGTCAGAAATAAATTTTCAAGGAAGGCAATTATAAACAGGCACTGTCTAAACGAGAGAATATTTGGGAATGAGTACCCAGAAACCTAAATAGAAGTCTCTACAATTAGCCTAAAATATAGGCTACACATAAAAGTTCTGCCTTAACAAGCTTACCTTTCAGATCTGAAACAATGTATGCATGCTACTATACTCATAACTGCAGTCAAAATAGCTACAAATAAAATGTATTATATACTGCTCATACAAGATTTAATCTCCAGATCTCCAATACATTATTCTAAACTTTACTTGGAAAGATCAGATAAAAGATCTCTGTTTAGGGCAGAATAACCAAATAACCTGAAAGATAAAGAAACTTTTCCATATTGTAAATAAGCAACATTTACATCTTGTAGCTTCTTTCTCACTCCCTTCCTTTGCTCCAAAAAAAACCAAACTCCTTTGAAACACCTCACCTTTTTTTATTCTTTACAGCTCTGAAGAATGTATCTTTAAAGACAGAACACAGAAGAAAAGGAAAGGTGTTGGTTAAGGAATCAATCACTTCCTAAGACAATCAGAACGCAGTTGTTCAGCCTAAGAAATAAACTAACACTTGTGGGGTGTCAAGTCAAGGAGCTGGAATAGTCCCTTCTACGTTCATTAAAGTCCAGGCTTCTATCAAGTGATAGTTCTTTTAGGCTTTTTCCCTAGCCATTGTTGCTTTCCATAAAGATTCAGTTTCACAGCCAGCTAGGGAGCAAGCCCATCTGTCTTCTTAAAGACTTCAGAGCCCCATTTTCCCTCTACCCCTTGTTTATACATCTCCAGCCTCCTGGGGAATCAGGTGTGCATCTCCTACTACACCTGTTAACCTTACAGTCAAGAATCTCCTGCTGTTCAGTGTAGACTTCAGGAAGATTGCTGGCAGCTCAAAACTCAGTTTGCTGTTCCCCTCTGCAATCCCAGGAACAGCAGGGAGTTCTAGCTGCTGGTAAGCAGCTAAAATTCACACAGCTATTTAAAAGGCAGTATTAGAGACTTAAAAAGATGTGATTGTTTCCATTGCTATCTGTCCTCTGAACGCACTATCAGATGTGTTATAAAAAAAGGATCATAAAATGGTATGCTCAAATCAGATGCTGTTTGTTCAGATTCACTGACTCTCACTGACAGGTGAAACACATGCAGTGAAAGAGCTGTTAAACCTTCTCCCCCCATCAATCTAAAACATTATTGAATTTTTAAGACCATTCTATGGAATAGATGAGCATCAGAAAAAAAGCTCTGCCTTATTCCCTCTGCTACCATCTCAAGGCACATCCCTCCATGCTCCTCCCTGACTTGCAAAACATTTTGTTTTCCACCCTGGCAAACAGAATTTTTGTACTGTGTGTAAACAAAATCATGATGTCTGAAAGAGAAATAAAGAAAATAGGTTCAAAAAGAAAAAATGAGTGCTAGGTTGAAAGGGATTTGGGACTTTTCATTGAAATATTATTCAGTATTTTGTTTGGTTGGTTTTAATTTCACCATTTTTCCGCACCTTGTACCTTTATCTTCCCCCCGCATTTGTGTCTGTCCAGGACTCCATACCATCTCCATCTTTAATTGGAGATCTGCAAAAGCTGGCATTTTGAAAAGTTTGCTTACTATTACTTCAACACACTTCAGTTTGCCCCCAGCAAAAACTTCCTTTTGTAACAGAGAAACCAAAGGATACAAACGGAAGTAAACTATCTGTTCTGTTAAGTGATTTTCCTGTTCTATTACCTCCACTAGAGTATGTTTCAGCCATCCAGATAGGAAATCCTTCACAAACTACTTTTAATGATAACACATCTTCCCATTCCAGAATTGCAGTTTCCCAACATATGTTAGGTCATCCTTTTTACACAAGACAAGATGATTTGCTTAAAGTAGGCATTATGCTTCTAGAACTGTGACCAACATCTCTTCTAGTTCCTAATTAAAATATTTACAGATCAGACTAACTGTACCGTAATAACATACTCATTATCTCCATACGTTCCTATGAAATCCTCTAAAAGCAACCTGCAACGTCTTGGACTTCTTCCTAGTAGACAGAGTGAAATTATTTTTCTATATTAACTCTCAATAAGCTAAGTTCAAACCCAGAATTAGTACAACCACAACACTATGGAGCCCAGCATGGGCCAACACACCCTGCTTCTCAGTTGAGTACATTAGTCCAGTGAATCTCTGTGTTACAATGGGTAGAGCAGTTCTCATGCTCAAAATAAATAATTTAATGCTAACTTTAATTTTATTTAATATTTACACTGCACTACAGACTGACTACAGTACAAACCTATGTCATGGCTTCACATTATTTCATCTCCAGAACATAGTGTCCATTTACATGCATCCATAAGGGCAGTTACAGGCAGAAAGCAGTATTGCAAGGACTGACCTGTTTTTAAGTCCCTTCCCTTGTTTCCACTTCATCTTAGAGCTACGAAATTATTCCCCTTCCTGTGTGGATGCCTGAACCTCCTTCTTCACAGTCATTCTTTTCAGCAACCCCACTAATTTACTCGGCTTTTGATCCCCGGCCCTCTGCATCTTCCTACAACTGATGCTGCTGTACCACCTAAGCAACCACAGCTCCTCCTTTAAAGCTTTTCTAAAAAAGGCATGTGAAGTCAATGCCCTCAGTTCAGTTGGATCTGTTTTTAAAAACTGATCAGCTTAAAAAAACTCCACCAAAACACAGGCAAGATAAACTTGCAATAGCCCCCATCACAGACTATGATTCAGCTGGCAGACTACAGAAAAACTGCAGATTAAAATGCTATTTGGTCTTTGTCTTTCTTCTCTTCATTCCATCCATTTTACCAGGTGGGAATATAAATCTTAATCATTTGGGGTGAAAAGCTCAGAATGTAATTCAGTAAAACACAATGTTGCAGAATCTGACAAAGATGTCACACTGATGCTTTTGTCATAATGCATTTATCCCCAGCTTTATTCTGAGACATCACCATCAGCTATCTTTCAGAACCTGTTAATTGTCAAAACAGTTTAAAAATTAAACATAGACAGGGCAGTCAGCAGTATTTTTAAGACAACACTAAACTAAAAATATCTTTAAGAGGAGCTTTCATTATATACCTTGGTTGTAACATCAGGTAGGTAACAGTGTCAAATAAAAATTAAATTCAGAATCTGTTCATACATGAGGGTAAAGACCATTCTGTGAATGTGAGGGTATAGACCATTCTGTGCCAGATTCTAAACAGGCTGTGTTTTCTGTTTATTTTGAATGGGACTTACTAAATCTCTGTGTGACTTTTAAGCACCATATTTATCATATTTGTTACAAACAAGTTGAGGCAAGTCTGAAACAGTTCATTACACTTACCACTGCAATTCATAGTGTGACCTTTTTACCTAAAAAAATGAAGCTCTCTTCAGTCCCTTCTTGATTGTTGAATACTCAGAAAACTCATAAATAATTTACAGAAAGCAGACCAGTCACCATTCAGGAAGTACTGGATGGGTAATGCTGTCAGATCGCTGTATCCATTTCAATGGCAAATGAAATTACTATCATGATCAGCAGCAGCTAGCATATTTTAGCACCTCAGTGGAACAGAAGTAACAGTAACAGAGAAATCTGCTCTGGTCAAACTCTTCAAACCAGGTGTATTGTAAACGGCTGAAGGTGATTTTCGAATGAGCCATTTTAGGATCAAACATTGCCCGTACTCTGTTATGTATTCTAACACTGCCCTCTTGTGACACAATACAGTTTTGCAAGCAGTCAGAAAGGATTTTTCCAAACCAATATGAAAGCAAGGTTTTATCGAGGAGGTCCTAAATATGTGTGTTTGTCTTCATTAAAATATTTAAATCAGTATATGGGATGCTTCCTCTTATGAAAATAGCAAATAATAAGTAATTTTAATATTTCTATGAATTCTCAACTTGGTCCTAATTAGTATTACTAACATTTTCTGTGAGAAATCACAGGTGGCTACATGCATAAGCTAATGTGCAGCAAGAATGTGTAGGAATTAATACTTCACTAGCTACACTGAAGTCTTGATCCATTAGTGCATCTAGATATAATTTCTATTGCAAGACATGTAACCACATGCCTCTGTAGGAGCAAAGACCACAAGGACATTCTTAGTAAGCACCAAGAGCGCAATAACCTACTGCACTTTTAATGGAAGAAACTACCAAACATTAAAGGTGTCTGCACAAACAGTTAGCAGATGGTAGCTGCTACACAACACATTTATTGCCAGGCTTCCTGAAATTTAAGTCCCCCAGCTAGAGAAACAAATACTTAGTAAAAGTGTGACTAATATTTTTCATCAAGAGAATTGATTTTTCATATTTACATTAACACTGTAGGCATCCTCATATAATCGTAGGATTATATTCAAGCTGCAAGAAAACTCAGGAAGTCATCTAGTACAACCTCCTGCTCATCTTAAGTATTAAAAGACTCTTAGTCATGTCTAAAGACGTTTTAACCAATAGGAACCTGAATACAGAATTAGCTTCTTTCTTCCTAGAAAAGATGGCGTAGTCCTTCTGTACTTCTACATCAGTCTACAAACTACTAAACTTGAAGCTTCTGTATCTCTTCTGCTCTGCTGGAAGTTTCTCATTAGCAAACACTTCAAGCTCAAGAATGACCAGCACCATGACAACAAGGAAGCACAGGCAAGACTGGAACAGGGCACCCAGGAGTTAAAGGCAGGACAAGGAGCAGGAGACCAAGGATGGACAGGGAGGGAAATGGTATAAACACCAAGCTGGAGCAAAACCAGAGAAAATGTTGGACTCAAATAGTATTTAGGAGTCCCCAACCACCAAACTTATCCAGCACTAGAATGGTTAATGAGCTGCTGTCCTTTTGGCAAGGAGGCTGTATCCTATGGCAACTAGGCAGTGGTAAGAATTCAGTTCATTGTTCCTGTGAGAGGGAAGCGTGAGGTTAAGAAATTGCTGCAGAATATCTGTCCTGGGTTCAGCTACAGCAGTCATTTTTTCTCCTTCTTAGTAGCTGGTGCAGTGCTGTGTTTTTGACTTTCTGCCTGGGAACAATGCTGGGAACACTGATGTTTTTAGTTGTTGCTAAGTAATGTTTACTCCGACTGAGGACTTTCTCAGTCTCATGCTCTGCCAGGGAGGAGGGGAAGCTGGCTGGGCTTAAACCACGACAATATAATTTCTAGAACTATATGAACAGAGTGAATCTCAACAAGCAGAAAAAAATATTTACATTAGATTTCTTAAAAGGCTGAGCTGTTCCAACCTCCATTTAATGGGATAAATCAACACTCCAAACAGATTCTTAATTTAACTTCCACATCTAGAACACTCTTGTGGATATATTTCTTTCTGATTCAGTATTGATCCTTAACGACAGTGTAGTGCCATCTTTTGGCAAACACTGGAAAATATTCCTGATTGCTTTAGACCTGCACAGAAAAGGACATCATAAGAGCCCAGTACCGTTCCAAATTGTGACAATACCGATGACAGCCAGGCCATGTTGAGAACTGCTCAAATTAAGCTAATTATACTTTCAATCAGTCTCTACTTATTACAGTGAAGAGGTTGCTAAGAATAGTTATATGAAAGAAGTTCCTTTCGTATCTATCATTTCACTGTAAGAAGTAGAAAGACCCAGTGCTCACACACTGTCCTGGCTTGAATTCTGATCCAGTTTCACTGGTGATGCAGTGTTCAGCAAAGTGAAAAATTCAATTTCTGCTATGAGCCATAAACCTTCCCCAGTCAGCCAAACTTTGGGCAAAGAATAAACCACCACCACTCCCTACGCATGGTACATTTAATCAAGGTGGGGAATAAGGTCCTGGGTAGTTATACCATCCATGTGAAGGCATAGAGTCACGTGTCAGAGGTCCAACTTCATGCTGAGCTACATGATGGGACAATCCCAGATTTCAAAGATGGGAGCAGGGAATGGAACGTGATGCCTTCCCAGAAGACTCAGCTCACAGCAAGAAGTGCGTGACTTGACAGCATGACATTAGATGACACAGGCGGGAGACTCCCTCCAGGAAAAATATCTCATCTTTCTTTTTTGTATTTACTCTAAACTCCTAATTTTAAAATCCAGGAGTGCCAAGATACTGAGAAACTGCTTGTAATTTGGTGGGAATTTCACTTGTTCTTCTATCTCGTAACACTAAATAGGTATTGTCTCCAGGCTACTTGTCTAACACGGCACCAGTTCCAATACTCTGTAATACTTTCAGATCCTTGCACTGGAGACTGCAGTATGCTGTTATTAGACTGCACTGTTGGTGGGGTTTGAACTTTCTGAATAAGGACTGAATTAAAATATTTCCAGTGAATGAATTAACAACTCTTAGATCTCCAGCTTAATTTCATATGGCTCTATTAGGAAAGACAGAGAAGTCTTGCTTCATATTAAAATGTAGACCCCTTTCCAGAGCATTACATTTCCGTTTTCTTCAAATCATTGGCATGATTTGCCCCCATGGACAAAGGACAACTGAGACTAAAGCAGGCTCAGAGAAACACGCATGTGATAAGACAAAATATCTGTAGATATATGTTATCTACTCCAGTCATACCCTTTCTTTTTACTGCTGACTGGATGGTTTCAATTAAAAATTTATTTTACCTGGTGGTTGCTTGTATCAGAAACCTTCACATCCAGTGATCCTGTGAGAACAGCATACCAGTTCGTCCCAATATCACCCTGACGAAACACTGGAAAGATGAAATCTTGTAAATAAGAGCTACCTCTGTAAGTTCAGCAACATTAACAAATATTTTCCCTCATATTACTGTACTACTGTAGTCACTTCTGGCAGTATAGAATTTGCCATGTCAGGCTACTTACTTACTATTCCAATAACATTTACAATTACACTAGAAATCACGTATTTTAGTAAACTGGTTGATACACTATAGAAACAATGAAAATACATAGAATTGCTTCACTCTTCTTCCCAGTTTGCTTCTTTTTTACCACTATCTTAGTTAACAAACAAAACAAACAAAAAAACTTTCTGAACAATGTCCCTCTGAAATTCAGAAACTTCCAATGCAGATACAGCTCCCACTGACTTCAGTAAGAGTTCTGGCTGAAAAGCAACTGCAAGACTTTGATGTTCAGGTATTCCAATTGTGTGATTAGAGTATCAGAATTCCTATTATTCTAAGCAATCCCCAGTGCTGTGTGCCTAAAGTCTGCCAGATTTACCCAAGGGGTACCTAAGACTCTACTAAATTCCACAGGTCTCCACGAGCTATTCCCCTGGTACAGCTCTGGGAACTCACACATTACCATCACAGGACCATCACTTATTTCCATCTCAGCTTCACAGATGGAGCACAGCTGTCTACCTTCATGTGGCAGACGGGCTGCCAGAGCAGGCACAGAGCTGTTGCACCCTAAAGGAGTATGCACCTCTGAAAATCTGTCTTCTGTTATCCTGAGTGACTGCAAACCACACACTATTAGTGATATGCCTAGGTGATACACTTTTGCCCCTGACATCAAAAATGCACCTACAAAAGAGATCAATAATACATTTACAGGGAAGAATGGGACTTAAGTGCAATGACTTGCTTCCAATCTTTCAACAGAACAGTGGCAGAGTCCCAAACCAAATAATGTGTGCCTTGTTACCATAGCTTCACCGCACACTGTATTTGTAGAGCGAGCAGCACTTTAGTCCTGCCTTCCCCCATGACTATGACTGTAAACATTCTTCTGGCAGTTCCACTGATTGTGTTCTCTCATTGACCTCTTAGAGACATTTCCAGCCTACCCCCCTTTTCATCTGCATAAAATAGTTCATTATATGAAGCTTTCTTACATGTGATTCCTTTTTCCAGATTTTCATAATATCCACAGAGACATATCTGCTGGAGAAGGTTTGGATGAAATTTCTCAAAAGCTTTCACTTCTTTCAGTCGTGTGAATATTATATCTACATCTTCACTAGAGCGTTCCAAAGGTCTGCAAGAAAACAAAGGACAAAATTCCAAAGGGCTTTATCAGAGAAACACCCCACCTGCATGCACCAAATTTACAAATGCTTGCAGCACATGTTATACTATAAGATAAACCAATCAAAATGTATTTTACAGGTACATAATTAAACTCTTCCAAAACATCCTAACAACTGCCCATTATCAACTTGAGCATGATTATTATCATTTTGACACAGGCAGAGTCCAGAAGCACCACTTACCAACAAAGTCCTGCTGTAGCAATTACTGTGAAAGTATATATGATGATACAGTCCTTATTCTAAAGAGCTTGGAATGATATATAGTTTTAAGTTTGTAATGGAACAAAAAAACCCAGATGTCTAAACATACAAGAGGTCTGTGAAATCAGTGCCCAAAATAGAAATTCTCTACCTGGCTAAAAGAAAAAGCCTTATATATCAGCAGTAACTCCTATACCCACATTTCTCTTCTGCATTTTGCTGGGTACAAACTAATTTGAAGGTTCTAAGTACATTCTTTTTCATGTAATTCCTGTCTCTTAATGTTGGACAAACTGAATATGTGAGTGAGAATCTAAACTGTTCATTGGTAAGTGTAAAGAGTTTTAATTCAAACATTTAAAATATTTAAACCTATGATAGTAACAACTTCAAAAAAAACCACAGATTTCAAGAAAAATGAAATTGTAGAACTCCCTCCAACAAAGTAGCATGTGGACCAGCAGTTTCAGCAGGCTCAGAAAACTACTATGTATTTGTGAAACTAAAGTGAATTAGCTCCATAACATACATTTTAAATGTGATTATCAAACATTATGAATCAGCAGGTAAGACAACCACTAGCTGACAGCATTAGAAAGAACCTTTCATAGCAGATTAAATGCCTACCACTACACACAGAAAGAAACACAAGAACATTCCTAAGAGATCATCTGGATCAGATGCAGAAATCATTCATGTATAAAGGGGTACCAGAACGATAGACAACTGTCATTGATCATTAGACCTATCACTCATTCAAATGCTGTTGGTTAATTTTACTGACAAAAACGTTGTTTTAGCCAGTGGACAAGCTTCTAAATGAACAGAAGTCAGGTGGTTTACAATGAACAAAGGCTAAGTTCACATATACATATCTTTATCATCTTACTGTTACACCCACAGTATAAGCACTCCTTCCAACAGGATTTTTTTTTGAAAGATTCCTCTTTGGAACCAAAGACTTAAGGTATCTAATTTGTCCCAGATCCTAATCACATTGAATCTCTGTCTCTCATCTTTCTTAATAAATTAAGTCTAGGAGGGATTAAATCTCTGTTCTCATTTATACTCCAATTTATCCTTGTATACAGTTGCTTCTACATCACAGTGACATCCTCTTGCCACCTCAAACCACAACCAGCTAAAGCAGCTGCCTTTTGAAGTATTTCAATTAAGATTTTCACCTGTTCCTTTTTTTCTTTTTTTCACTCTGCACTAGCTGACAGGTACTAATAAGCATTAAATCTCTTGTCAAAATCCTTTTAAGAAGATTAGGATGTGCAGCTTGCAAACAGATTTAAAATCCGTTTATACAAGATCCCTACCCAAACTACACTAGCACTTGGAACAGTAACTCCCTTAATTTATGGACTCTTAAAATTAACAGCAAGACGCAACAAGAAAAAAAAAAAAAAAGAAAAAGGGAAATAATTCTGAGAATATCTCCTTTTCCTAGATAAACTGTGTCTAAGACTGTTTCATACATGCAACTGCTCATACTGACTTTGTTCAAGTCCATCAGTTCATTTGCATAGAATTGACTGTAGGATCTCAGTGTTTAGTAGTGTTAGTTGTTTGATGCAGCTGAACAGGGAAAAAGCAAACAGGGTTAGCAAACAACATGCATTGTGTTGTACAAACTTAAATCAACACTGTTCTCTCAGTGCTCTTTTTGAAATGCAAGTGCAGAAATCTCTTCTGCTCTGCTCCTGTCAAAACAAAATTTGGGGGGATTTAATTCACAGACTGTGTAGCTTTTTTTCCTGAGAGTTGCTGAAGACTCAAGATACAGGGTTTCCATATAGTTCAGAAGAAGGTGAGAGCAGGGCTCACTTCAACTGATGTGGCAAGGAGCGTCTTGTGCCAGACAGATGAACTGCAGGAAAAGCTCTTTCTTCCAACAAAACTGTTTCATGACCCCAGTAAAGCAAGTCATGACAGAAGGAAAGCATTCTCACAGGTAGCTAAACCATGCTTTTCAGAGTTGCAAACATCAGCACAGCAGCAATAAATCAAACTCCATATTTATTGGGAAAGACAAATTAAAGTCATGTGCTCCTAGTGGCTCAGTAAGTAGCTGAGCTGCAGCATTTTGTATTAGCAACAGCTACTTCCACTTGGAGTACATGAAGTGGGCATTTCAAGGGGGACACACAGTCATGCTCTAAACAAAAAGAAGAATCCAAACTTCTAAGTAATATGCATAGTAGTAATCTGAAAATTGTCGTATTCCTTACAACATTTCTTAATAATTCAGTACTGCAAACAATTTGTTCCAATAGCCTTTCTTCAAAATACACTGCATGTAATATTACTGTATGCAACTAAATTTCCATAGCCAGCATGGAAACATACAAGGACCCTTAACTATACCCAGGAATAACAATTGTCTCTCAAATGAGACACACAACATCTGGTGTAAAAATTGGCTGTTTGGTTAAGATCATGAATAAGAATCCAAATAAACTAGGATCCAAGTTGTTTGACAACAAAATGCCTTTGGATTTGATCAGAGCTCCTGAGAAATGTCCTCAATGTTTAGAAGTAAGGAATCCACTAACACTAGGTATCCCAAGCTGAGGCATAATTAATTCTTACTAGGACATGGAATTTTGCCTGTGTAAAAACTCCAGATTGCAGCGTAAAAGTAATAGTAGTAGCATTCAAACTCATTTCTATTAAGAGCTTATAATCTATGACAATGAGACTGGCTTCAAAAGGACAGTTTTACTTAGTTAGAAAGCATAATAAAATTCCCTGACATTCGTTAACTGCTTTTCCACATGCCTGTAAAAATCAGGCAAAGTTTGACCACTTTCTACAAACCACCTTTTAGTAAAATTATCATCATTGCAACCATTGTCATCATCACTAAATTAACATTTTTGAATCTATTTATGCTGCCAAATCTTGTTTTTTATTTCCTAAGTACAAGCTGCCTAGCATGGAACACCATGAGTACAAGAGAACATAAATTTACTTCTTCATTGCAGTTATCTTACTATATTGCTGTAAACTTGGCTTTTTAAAAGTACAGTTTTTATGGAATAACATTTATTAAATGGAATAACATTTAAACAGCCAATATTATAATAATATATTCCTTAGAAGATTAAAGATTAAACCTATTAATTAGAAATGTACTACTGATGACAGATGCAGAATTTAATGTCACTGTAGTCACACTGATGGGAGGCAATGGTATTAATTCAGAAAAGAACCATTCCCCAAAACAGAGAGGTGTGCTGCAAAAGTCAATTCGCAGGAGGTGAATCTCCCTGCACTACCTACATGGCTCCAATAGCCTCTGGAAAGACTGTATCAAAGCACCACTGCTGTTCACTAGAGAGCAATCCCACTGAGTTTAGCCCCCATCTGCTAAGCTAGGACTGATGAGGATGTCCTTCTGTTGTGTTCTGTGACATTGATGTTGTTACGCTACTGAAGTGTTCCCTCACTGCTGATGCTGCAGAATTATAACCGGATGTCCATGAGCTAAGATGTTAAAAAATGCATTTCAGTGAGACTTCAGCTACCACTGGATTTTCTGCTAAAGCTTCTGTCCTTTCCTAAGTGTACTCCAGTTTCTGAACGCTCTAGCCCAATGTATGGAATAGAACCATAGATGAATCTAAAACTGTGGACAAACCTCCTAAATCAATTAAAATTCTTCAGCTCTCAACAGTTTGGTAGAGGTATGAGCTATAACAGAAGTATTTTAAGGCAAGGACATCCTTCCTGAACAAAATCTGTGACTCTATCCAGCGAAGCACCCACTCTCTAGGCTGCCCCACCTAATTTAAAATAAATGTTAAGTAAAACAAATTGTGGAGATGTTACATTTTTCTTCATCTTTTTTACTTAAAAAAAAAAACAAAACAGCTTCTTACCCCTTTTTTCCAACTTCTCATCATCTTTGTGGGGTAGCTGCTGCTAAATCTCAATTTTCCTTAAGTCTGCAGGGTACAAGCCCGGAAAGAGCTTTAGCAGCTGTTGTAGTAACTACGCTTCACTAACTGCCCTGGCAACCGTAACTGAGTAGGTATTATGCCATGACCATAGCAAATGTCAAGACCAAACGATGAAGGAGGAATGACTGATTTGGAAATTAAAACTTCATAGTGGGTATCTCTTACCATGAAGGATAGTGCATGAGTGACATTCCTACACCCTCCCTCCAGTCTTCAATTCGATTTTCCCTAAATTTGTACCTGAAGAGGGCACTGAGCTGGCATCACATTTCAGTGCTGCCCAACTGAGGTGGGCATTTCCAGTGTTGCAAAAGCAGGGCTACAAAATGATCGGTAAGAGTATTTATTTTCACAAGCCTTTATGCTTTGTTTGACCACTGAACACTTTATTCAACTCCTTATTTTTACTACTAATTTGCCTCTTCAAAGCATAGTAAGTTTTATCCGGCAGTAATGTTTTCATACAAGGCATCATCTATCTCCTCCTTCCACTCCTTCAATACAACATCACAGCATATGCATATAAGTGACAGCATCAATGCTAGTTATACATCTCTATTCAATTAGGTCAATAAGGCTTCTTTAAAAGATATTTTACCCCTCATTTACTTGGTTGTGAAGCTTTTAGGCATGTCTTTTAGAGAGATAAAACAATTTTTCTTGACAATGTCTGCTTGACTATCTGGAAAAGGAGATCATAAAATAAAATCTGCCAGAAGTGTATTTTCAAAAGGCTGTTTCATATTTTTAAGGGCAGACTATTCAGGCTCAAAGTTGAAA